GGAAGCGAATGGGGCACTGCCAGATGTTTCCAGCAGGGGGATGAAGCAGGAGCTCCCCAGTGCTGGTGCTGCACCTGCACCCCCAGGGCGGCTCCACAGCTCAGCCCCGCCATGGGAACCCCCTTCCCACACCTCACACCTGGATTTGCCGGGGTCCAGATCCAGGATCCTGAGAACCCTGGGGTCCAGGGCTGCAGAGGGGAGGAAAGAAACGCGGGGGTCTCAAAGCCCTGGGGGTGGGCCAGAAATCCCCTGGGGGGTTCTCCAGTGGGGCCAGGCAGGGCGGGCACCACCCTGGGCTCCAGAACCGCTCCGGAGGGGATGACAACAGGATGGGATGAGCCCGTCCCTGGCAGCGCAGGGGCAAAGGGCTGGGGCTCCTGGGCTGTGGGTCCGGGTGTGTGGGTCCAGGGATGTGGGTCCAGGGCCGGGGCAGAGCTGGGCACCTCTATAGCCACTTCTGCCTTRGCAAAGAGCATTGCCCAGCTCCTGCCACCACGCAGGCGGCCCAGGGAGAGGGGAACCTGCTCCAGAAGTCCCTGTGAGCTCCAGACTTGGGAGTGAAGGTGCTGAGGACAAAGCCGAACCCAGCCCGGCCCAGCCCGGCCCGGCCGCTGCCCCGCGATGGGGACAGGGGGCTGTTTTGCCCTAAAACCACAGGACTCGCCGCCGGAGCTGCAGGTGCCCGGTGCCACCGCCGTGCCCAATGTCCGGAGCCCCCCGGGAGCACCGGGAGGGTCCCGGGCCAGTGTCCCCAGCGCAGCCCCGACTCACCTGGTGCCGGCGGGGAGGAGGCAGCAGCGGGACAGGCTCCTGTGTGTCCTCGTCTCCCGGCAACATCCCGAGGGACCGGCCCCAGCCTGCCCGGGCTCCCGCCCGCCTCCGCAGCCCCTGCCCGGACCTTCCCCCGGTTCCCCCGGGCCACCTCCTGCCCCGCACAGCGGTCCCGGGCAGCTCCTCCCCGCCATTCCCAGGGAATCTCCGTGTCCGGGCAGCCTCTGAGCCACCGCTCCTGTTCCTCCTCCCCTCYCCCTCCTCCTCCGGGCCACCATCTTCCCCTTGGCCAGGCTTCCCTGAGACATCTCCACCCCGATGATCTCCTCTCCTGGCCAACCTCCCTCCCTGGGCACCCCCTCCCTGCTTCTCCTTCTCCTTCAAGCTCCCAGATGATCTCTTTCCATGCTCCCCTTTCCCTGGACGTCCTGCCCTCGGACACCTTCTGCCTTGGACAACTTCCCCTGGATCATCTCCCCTCCTGCCCCTCAAAYCACCCCAAACCCTGGGCCATCCCCACGGCAATTCCCACCCCAGATCCTCCTCCTTCCCTGAACCACCACTTCCCTGGACCTCCTCATCCTTTGGACAACYTCTTCCTTAGAACAATATTCCCTGGATCTTCCTTGTTCCATGATCCCTCCCCTGTCCCCRCTCACTCCCAGAGCTCCCCCACCTCAGGTCCCCTCCGGGACCCCCTCCCCGCTGCAGCCCTGGGGAACCAGTGACCACCTCAGCACCGCGGCTTTTAAAACTCCCGAATCCAAGTTTTATTTCTGTGTAGGAGAAGAGGGATCACTCACAATATATTATTGTTCAAAAAGAAAATACATTCAACAGCATTTACAGTGGAATGACATTAAAATCCTCGAGGAGGAACGGAAGGACCAGGAGATGGTGCTCTGGTTAAGTGCTGCTGAGAAGGTGATCTCTGGAAGATGGAGCGGTTTTTATCCATGAGCTTAAAATCCGGGGGATTTCTGGGTTTGGGGGTGCTCCCCGTGCTCTTTGGAGCTGTGTGGGGTCTGTGATGGGGATTCCCAGACGGACACGGCAATGGGGGCACAGCGGAGCCAGAGGGAGCAACGTCCCACTCCCCATTCTCCTCCACCCGGGAACACCGGGATCCTGCTCGGGAACAGCTGGATCCCACTCAGAAACACCCAGATCCCATTTGGGAACACCAGGATCCCGCTCGGAAACACCCAGATCCCATTTGGGAACACCAGGATCCTGCTCAGAAACACCCAGATCCCATTTGGGAACACCAGGATGCTGCTTGGAAACACCCAGATCCCATTTGGGAACACCAGGATCCCGCTCGGAAACACCCAGATCCCATTTGGGAACACCAGAATCCCACTCAGGGATACCGGATCCTTCTCGGGAACACCRGATCCCTCTCGGGAACAGCCACATCCCGCTCAGGAACACYGGATCCCTCTCGGGAACAGYCTGTGCTGGAGTTCCTCCCCGTTCCCAGCTCCCGGCTGACACTTGCATTGACACAGCAAAAAAAGGAAAATAAGGCATTCTGAAGAGCTTCGTTTCAGCCCGTTTAACAAACCTGACTCAGGCCTGGAGTGGGACAAATCCCCCGGGGACACTTTGGTGCTGCCCCAGCCCGAGGCAGCAGCAGCAGGGATCCGTGTGGAGCAGCTCTCCCCAGGCTGAATCCCAGGCTGGATCATTCCAGAGCAGCTTTCCCGAGCCAGGGCAAAGCTCCAGGAAGGAGCGAGCGCTCCAGAGCGGCTGCTGCAACACTCCCAGGAACCCCTAGTGCCGCTCCTCAAACCCCAAACACATTGTTTCCAGGTGGGAATGTCTYTGTAACACCTTTTCCATGGCTACAGGACCCAGCTTTGGAGCAAAACGTCRCTTCCCTGCAATGGGAATCTTTCCATCACCATCACCTGAGCTCGGGGAYGAGCTGAGGGGAATCGTACTTGTGCTGCAAAAACTCAGACAGACACYTCTGTCTTCATCATTTTTCCTCTATTGTGTACCATAGAAATTTAAGCAAAATAATTTTATATATATTTATATCTATACGTATAAATTAGAAGCAAATAAATAAGATTAAAGGGTGCACTGAGAGCAGCGGGGGCTGCCCCGCACCACGGTGACGCCGCCAGGGGCCGTGGGGACTGTACACTGTGGGATCACTGTGGGATGGAAGTGCTGGAAGCTGCTCAGGAGGAGGCTGATGGATGAGAACCTGATTGCATAAGTGTCCCGTGTGCAGCCTGGCTATTCCAGTTACCGTCGCCTCAAGGTTCGTTATTGCTAATTAACTTCCACTGGGGGTGACGGGCCCAGCTCAGTGCAGGGGCAGTGGGAGATGATGAGAGCCCCAGGAGGAGATGGCAAAAATGGGATCCAGCAGGGCCAGTGCGGGTCCCCAGGTGTCCCTGGCCCTGCAGATCCCATTTTTGGGATGCTGCCTCCCCACTTCCCTCCGGTGCTCCCGTCACCGGCACTGCTCACTCCGCTTGTCCCGGAGCACCCAGGGCCAGGCAGGGAGACGGCGCCCAGGAGAGGGGACAGGGACCGGGGGTGACCAACTGGAACTGCTCAGGGAGAGCCCAGGGTGAGGGAGGGGAAGGCGCCGGGGTGCCAGGTCTGTCTGCCTCAAGGGCTGGGACATCCAGCACCGAGGCTCCATCCCAGTGACACCACAGCACTTCTCTCCCCACAGCATCTCTTCCCTCCTCCTTCCTCTCCCCCGGCATCAGGCACAGCTGAGCAGGGAGATGCCGATGGAAAACCCAACATTGAGATCCAGCCCCCATGCAGGGACACGGAGCTGGAAGCAGTGCTGGYRACACAAACTCTCCATCTGCCCAGCGTTCCCAGCCTCGCTGAAGCCGTTTCCCCCTTCGGATGTGGTTGCAGGAAAACCAAAGCAAAGCWCACTCAAAGCACTCCCACATGACAAAGACAGTCCCAAGCTTCACCTGAACACATCAGACCGCGGGGAAGCAGCTCTAACGCTCTTGAAAAAAACAAAAACCAGATAAAAACCACCAAAGTCACCAGCTGGAATATCCTAATCGGTGTTACTGGGATGACTGGGCACTGTGGAACCACCAAGAGCCTCCAGGATCGAGCGCCACGGCCCCTGGGGACAGTTTTCCAAGCAGAGCTGTTCGTGTCCATCTTTGAAGGAAACCTGAACCAGGAGCGGGATTTGTTTTTTTAAAAAAATAATTCCATAAAGTCCACACAGAAATGGGGTCTGAGAAAAAAAAAATCAGAAAAAATGGCAAAGAGAAGAGCTCACACAAGCACGGCATTCCCACAGCCCGGGCATCTTTGGAAGTCGACGTCTCGGCCGCCGGAGCCGAGGCGCTGGAGGACAGAGGCAGCAACTCCTGTCAGCAATGAACATCCTAAACTCAACCCAGCTCCATGTGTCCTCGTTCTTATTAGTCGCTGGAAAAGCCATCATTAAAAAAAAAAAAAAAAAAAAAAAAAAAAAAACAAAACCAAAAAAAAAAAAACCCCGAAAAAAAATGATGCTGTTTATTAGTGCGTAAAAAAATAGGTTTGGAATCGCGGTTTGGATCTCTGCATGTCTTGACTGCGTGCCGGCCCGGCGGGACACTGCCGGCTTGTCCCCGCTGTCCCTCGGGCTGGCCCGGTGTCCCGGGGGTGGCCCCGCAGCATCAGGGGCTCAGAAGATGTCGGGGCACGCGCTCCAGTCCTGCTTGTCCTTGGCCTCCCAGTAGCCGCCCTTGTAGACGCAGAGCAGCTCCCCGGTGAACGCRTCCACCTTGCGCTCGAACCACAGCGGGCTGTAGCCCTCGTAGTCCTTCCCTGCGGGAGGACAATGGGGTCAGGGCAGCTTTACCACCCACAATCCCAAAATCCCACAGTCCCACAGCTCCCACGGCTGCCCCGAGAGCCAGAACTGTCCAAGCTCCCAGAGCTCAGAGAGAGATCAGAGCCCGGCCCTGCCGTGGTCACCAGTGCCCAGGGAGGACTGGTCCCCAGAGGGACAGAGTGACCAATGGGACATGATGGCCAGGGACACGATGGCCAACAGCCCTCCCTGCAAGAGCCCACTGCCTCAAAAACCCAACCAGCCCCACAAGTGCCTCAAACACACCGACAAGAGTCCCAGTCAGAGCCACCCTCTCCTTGCAGGGTCTGTCCTCCACAGTGTGGGCAGCACAGTCACCCCAAACCAAACCATCCCAAACCATCCCGAACCATCCCAAACTATCCTGAACCATCACAAACCATCCCAAACCATCACAAACCATTCTGAACCATCACAAACCATCCCAAACCATTCTGAACCATCACAAACCATCCCAAACCATCCCAAACCACCCTGAACCACCCCAAACCATCCTAAACTATACCAAACCATTCTGAACGTTTCCAAACCATCCTGAACCATCCCAAATCACCCAGAACCACCCCAAACCATTCTGAACCATCCCGAACCATCCCAAATTACCCCAAACCACCCCGCAGYGCCTCACCTTCCTCCAGAGCCTCCACAGCCTCGGCCTCCCTGCGCCGGCGCACGGCTCTCTGCTTCTCCTCCAGCCTCTGCTTCTCCACGTTGGCCTCGTCCCAGCGGCCGCTCTCCATGAGCCGCTGGTCGGGCCGCAGCCGGCTGTCCGTGGGTGCCACACGCTCCTCGGGCTCGTTCAGCGTCAGCGCCAGCTCCGAGAAGAAATACATGTTCTCGGCGTTTTCCCTGGGATCGGAGAGCATGGTTAGGATGGGGGGCTGGGGGATACCCCAGGCACAGCCCCACAGCCCCACRTGGCTCTGCAGCCCATCCTGGCCCCAGGGATCCTGAAGCAGCAGGAGCAGGGCAGTGCCCRYCCCCTGAGCTGGCACTGCTGGGGCACCTCCAGTGCTGGGACAGYTCTGGGAGCCTCCTGACAGGAGAGCCCTGGAGGGGCTGGAGCGAGTCCAGGGCAGGGAACGGAGCTGGGGAAGGGTCTGGAGCCCCAGGAGCGGCTGAGGGAGCTGGGAAAGGGGCTCAGCCTGGAGCAAAGGAGGCTCCGGGGGGACCTTGTGGCTCTGCACAACTCCCTGACAGGAGGGGACAGCCGGGGGGGTCGGGCTCTGCTCCAGGGAACAGGGACAGGAGGAGAGGGAACGGCCTCAGGCTGGGCCAGCAGGGGGGATATTGGAGAAATTTCTCCTGGAAAGGGTTGGCAGGCATTGGAACAGGCTACCCAGAGTGAAATCAGGGTACAATCCCCATCCCAAGGGAATATCCCCAGAGCAGGGACTGCTTTGAGCTCCCAGAGCTCAGAGAGTGATTGAAGCCCAGCCCTGCCAGGGTCGAC